GGCCGTTTTGGACGTCTCTTCGGCCGTTTGGGAGCAGTCTTGGGGCCGTCTTGGGGCGCTTTTGAAGCCCATTGGGCTTTTGGGGGACAATAGTTTGGTTTTCCGGGGGCGTCTTGCAGCGTCGGGAAAAGGAACAAACGAAACCGCCAAACTTGCTCAAACACCTGTGGAAATCAATCGTGTTGTGCCTCTTCGGGCTCAGTTTGAAACCTATTGGAAGCCTTTTGGCTGTCTTGGGGACCTCTTGGGCCGTGTGGAGGCCGTCTCTTGCGTCTTGGACCGTCTAGCGGCCTTCGGCCCGTCCCGCCACCGTGACTGGGCTGTTGGTTGAAGGCCTCTTGGAAATTCGTTTGGATAACGCGGGAGGCCTCTCGGTGGCCTACTGGAGGCAGGGGCTGGAGGCCTCTCGGGGGCCGTGTTGCGGGGGGCCCGGGGGGGGCTCTTTGAGGCCCCGTGGGGCTTTCAGGGGGCCTCACGGGCTCTCTCGGGGGCCGCTTTCCTTTGGGCATCCAGGGGACCTCTTGGGGCGGAAAGCTCGACATGTCGATTCGTGCCCCCCCTCTCGGGGCCATCTTGGGGCCCTCTTGCTCTCTCGGGGTTTCTGTGGGGCCTCGTCGGCCGTTTTGGGGCCAATTTGGGCGTGTCGGGGCGCACTTGGACCCTATTGGGCGCTTTCTGGGGCAGTCCGGCCTCTCCAGACCGCCCCCGGGTTGGGGGTCTTATATACGCGTATGTGTACACACATACATACATACATACATACATACATACATACATACAGACAGACAGACAGACAGACAGACAGACAGACAGACAGACAGACAGACAGACAGACAGACAGACAGACAGACAGACAGACAGACATACATACATACACACACAGACAGACAGACAGACAGACAAACAGACAGACATACTGACATACAGACATACAGACATACAGGCATACAGACAAACGTACAGACGTACAGACAGACAGACAGACACACACACACACACAGACACACGGACGGACGGACGGACGGACGGAGGGACAGACCGACATAAACATGTACATGCACACAGCCATACATACATACACACACATAAATACATACATACATACATACATACATACAGACAGACAGACAGACAGACAGACAGACAGACAGACAGACAGACAGACAGACAGACAGACAGACACACAGACAGACAGGCATACATACATACATACACATGTATATGTTTGTGTGGGCCCGTCTTTTTACGAACGCCAGCCGAAGTGAAGCTAAGAGCCACACAATCTGATATCCGTTCGCGCTGATACGGGCGCGATTCGCGAGACCACGACTGAGTAGCAGCGAGCACAGCGCCAAGGTCAAATGCCCCAAACCACCCATAGATTGGTGCTGGACGTGCGAAACACGGCTGATATGAAATGTTAGGCGCGCATGTTAACATAATCAAGATGCTGAGGCCCAACATCTGACATACATGCGAGCAGAAGAGTGAAGGGCACGGCTGAGCGATCCACGTCAGAAAGTCGCCCTGCGGATTATTGCCCACGGGCTGCTGCGCTGCTTGAAAAAAAAACGCAAAGGCCAGCCTTCACACGACACCTGCGGAACTAGTCTAGCTGATACTCTGCTCTGTAGGACGTTCTGATGGGGCGAGTCACATAGGTCAACGGCGAAACATCCGCAACCGCAGTGGGCCGCAGCCAACGAGAGGTGCGTAGAGCCTGGGAAGATCTCTGCAACGAATTTCCTTGTTCGAGGCGTTCCAGGCACCGGCTCCACGATGCTCGAAGGTCGGTCAGCAACGAGGCGATGGCGGACAGGCAGAAGCCTCTGAGAGGACTGGAGAGCAGAGCCCCCTCACGTTGAAGGCGCGCAACTGCTTCGCATCGACGAAGAGACGATGCGCAGCCCCACCTGCTTTGGTGTTTCACCAGCACCTGGCGGGGATGTTGTCCCGCCTGTCTGCCGACGGCCCTCCGCGCCGTAGCTGGGAGGGCGTGTGCATCGCGCGCAGGTCGGGCTCGCGCTGCGCCTGCTTGAACACCGCTGTGAAGCACTGGGACGTTGAACTCGAAGAGGCGGCCCGACTTCCTGGCCAGCGCCCGCCTGCCGATCTCCGGCCCGAGGGGGCCGTGGCGCGGGCGGCCCGGCAAGACACTCGCGGCGGCCGCCAACGCTTTGGACGTGCCCCCGCGCTCCCCCGGGTGAAGTTCAGCGCCGGCGCCCAGGACAGTGGAGGGCACGGCGGCGCCATATCCTTGGCGCGACGGTTCCACGCCTCGCAGGAACGGGGGCACGCCGAGAACACCACCAACGTCACCAGCGCGTCGGTCGGCATGTTCTTCACGGTCATCACGTGGGCAACCGCCGCCACCGCAATCCACGGCGCTGGGGCTTGCGCAGCAGCAGGACTGAAGCGGCGCCCTGCCCCGAATGCTGGCGCCGCGCGCGGCGGCGCCTGGGCCCCCTTCATCTGTCGCGAGCAAAGGGCCAAGAAAGCGGCGTCAGTCACCTGCGCCTCGCCGCGCGCGGCCCCGACGAAGACCCCGGCCTCGACCAGGTCCGCCATGCAAGGCCCCTCCCTCGGTCAGCGAGCCGAAGAGCCTCTCGGAGCTCTTCAGGTGCCAGAGCAGGCGCCAGAGCGACTCGAGGTACCAAGGACCCAGTAACGCCCCTCACCGCGGACATGGTGGGGAAGTTGGGAGGTGGATCGCCGAGGCGCATGGCCATGTCCTTTGCCTCCTGCACGAGCTCGTGCGAGAGCGGGTCCGAGCGCATCAACTGGGACAGGGCCCTGGACGGAACGCGCGCCAGGCGAGGAGGCCAGCGACGCCTCGACGGCTTCATCATCAGCATTATAATCATCATCAGCAGCAGCAGCAGCAGCAGCAGCATCATCATCATCATCATCATCATCATCATCATCATCATCATCATCATCATCATCATCATCATCATACTCATCCTCATCCTCATCCTCATCCTCATCCTCATCCTCATCACCATCATCATCATCATCATCATCATCATCATCATCATCATCATCATCATCTTCAACATCATCATCATCATCATCATCATCATCATCATCATCATCATCATCATCATCATCATCATCATCATCATCATCATCATCATCATCATCATCATCATCATCATCATCATCATCATCATCATCATCATCATCATCATCATCATCTTATCATCATCATCACCATCATCATCATCATCATCATCATCCACATCATCATCATCAACCTCACATCATCATCATCATCATCATACTATCCATCATCATCATCATCATCATCATGCAGCACATCATGATCATCATCATCATCATCATCACATCATCATCATCATCATCATCATCATCATCAACATCATCAATCACATCATCATCATCATCAACAGCATCTTTGGGGGGGATCATCATCTTCATCATCATCATCATCCATCATCAGCATCATCATCATCAATTCCCATCATCATCATTCATCATCATTCTTCATCATCATCATCATTCATCAGCATCATCATCATCATCATCATCATCATCATCATCATCATCATCATCATCATAATTCATCATCATCATCATCATCATCATCATCACAGCAATAATCATCATCATCATCATCATCATCATCATCATCATCATCAACATCATCATCGTCATCATCATCAGCATCATCATCATCATCATCAGCATCATCATCAGCATGATCCTCCTCCTCCTCCTCCTCCTCATCCGCATCATCATCATCAGCATCATCATCATCAGCATCATCAGCATCATCATCATCGTCATCTTCATCATAATAATCAGCATCATCATCGTCATCATCATTACCATCACCATCACCACCATCATCATAATCATCATCATAATCATCAGCATCATCACCACCATCATCATCATCATCATCATCATCATCATCATCATCATCTGTATCAGCATCATCAGCAGCAGTACCATCATCCTCATTATCGTCCCCCTTCTCATCATCCCCATCATCTTCATCATGCTGCGCATCATCATCCTCATCCTCATCCGCATCCTCATCATCAGCATCAGCATCAGCATCAGCATCAGCATCAGCATCGTCATCATCATCATCAGCAGCATCATCAGCATCACCATCATCATCATCATCATCATCATCATCATCATCATCATCATCATCATCATCATCATGCTCATCTTCATATTCATCCTCATCCAACTCGGCTTCCTCGTCCTGATCCGCCTCCTCCTCCTCTTCCTCCTCCTCCGTATCCTCCTCCTCCTCCTCCTCCTCATCCTCCTCATCCTCATCATCCTCCCTTCCCTCCTCCTCCTGCGCCGCCTCCACCTCCTCCTCCGTCTCCTCCGCCTCCGCCGCCGCTGCCTCCTCCTACTACTAGTATTCCTCCTCCTCCTCCTCCTCCTCCTCCGCGGCCTCATCCTCCTCCTCCGCCTCCGCATCCTCCTCCTCCATATCATACTCCTCCTCTGATCCCTCCTCCTCCTCCTCCTCCTCCTCCTCCTCCTCATCATCATCATCATCATCATCATCATCATCATCATCATCATCCCTTAAGCAACGCGGCTCGAGCTGCGCGACCCCATTTGGGCTCAAACCAGCTCGCGACCGCGCCTCACGCCTCCTCGCGGCGCTTGGGGGGCACCACGTCAGAGTTCGGGATTCAGTGACTCCTCTGTGGTTGGCTAAGTGAGGCGAAGTCAATTCAAGTTCAAAGTCTCGTCATGGATGGTACTGCTGAAACAGTATCGCGGCCTACCCCTTTCGCACGGTGGTTCTCGTCGGACCTTGAGTTGACGACTCTGCAGCAGCACTGCGGGCCATCGTTGGTGGAATTGGGAGTTGGTCTTCGGGAACTCAATTTGTTCAAACTTTTCCAGTGCCAGCATTTGGTCGAAGCTCCGACGATCGTTATTGCATCATGTCTGTGCCCATCACCTCCAGCAGTGCAGCCTCTATGTGACCTTCTTCGCAGGTATGGCAAGTTCTCGCCTACGCCCAACGCACGGAGGAGCTACTTCGAGGCCATCGCACTCGAGGCCATGGTGGGCCAGTTGCCGTGGGCTACAGTGTTTACCCTTCGCAGGCAGAAAAATCTTCTGAAGTTCGGCGATTCTCCTTCGGCGGTGTCACCGGTCTGCCGTATCGCAGGGTTTCGTCCGAAGCAGTGCTACCTGGACGAAGGTGGTCAGCTGCAGTACCTGGCAGGTGGAGACCGACTCATCGCACGCGGGCTTCGAGGAGGACCCATCTCTCTCGACGCGCATGTCAACGAGCGCGGGCTTCTCGACCTGATCAGCCTGTGTTCGGCAGCAACAGTTCACGGCATGCAGGTGCTCTTCGTTGGCTGGGATGGCGCTCTTAGTTTGACTTGTGGGATGCAGGTGCTTAGTCGTCTTCATCAATTGACCAGTCGCCCGTCACGGTATTTGGTGGAACCCACGGCACTGCGTATCTTCACCACCAAGTTCATGGGAGGTCAGGACCAAGCCTACAGCTACGATGGGTAGTACTCGTATGCCACAGATCGGAGGATCCAGCAGATCATGAACACGTACCTCGCAAAAGGGGGCCAACGGCACATTATTCACAGAGGCGGGCATTCCACGCGATCAACTCCAGCCTCATGTGTCGGTCAACACGGCGGTCATGTGGTTCTTCGCTGAGGTTGCGGTTCGGGCCCCAGCCTTTCCAGGTCCTTCGGCGAGCAGCGATGGCGCATAACGTTTGGAGCATTTCAAGCAGAATAGTGGTCTTTGCAGTCGGCTGGCGTGGCAGCTGCTGCGGTGCCGCTACAAATTCTGTCGTGGAATAGCTGAGCCTGGCTTGCGCAGGGCATAACTATCTTATTAGTTGTGTCATTTATATTATGGCATTACTTTGTTGGTGGTGCAGTCAACTGTGCAATTCCTGATGTGCAATTGAGTGCTTTGGGGGTCAGTTTTCAGTGCTGGCAATGGTAATTCCTTATATGCAGGGTTTGCATAAGGCAGTAAGTTTGACAACTGTGGTCTTACCTCGTTGTGGTGTTATTCGTCAACAGCCACCTCGCGGTCGCTGAGGCTCTCATGCGGGATTTCTCCCTCGGTGGCCGAAGGCAACACGGTCGCGGATGTCTCTTTCTTGCTGCTGTCACTCACTTCTTTCGTCCTCGCACTCATGGGCATGGTGTTTTTGGAAGTTGAAGGCTCTGGTGATCAGTATGTCTGCTCTACAACCTCCAACATTCAATGGTGCGTATGCAGGCTCTCGGCTGATGTACGTGGGCGCTTCCCCTGTTAGCTGTGATAGTCGGTGTTTCCATCAGTAGTTTGGTGGAGCTGCACCTGTGAATACCAATGGTGGTTTTGGCGTCATTAATCGGCTTCGCTTCTACTTCATCGGCGGTCAGGTGGGCTCCTTCCTCGCAGGACCGTGCTTCAAGTTTAACGAGGACCCATCCTCCCTCCTCCTCTTCTGAGCTCCGAGGCTGGGTGGGCGGGCAGTCAGAGGGTAGTCCTCGATCAGTCGCTTCGCGACTGGCGTCACTCACTCACTCCTCCTCCTCCTCCTCCTCCGCACTCCTCCTCCTCCTCCTCCTCCTCCTCTCCAATCCCCTCCACCTCCCTCCTACCGCCCCCCACCTCCTCCTCCACCTACTCCTTCCTCCTCCTCCTCCTCCTCCTCACTCCGCCTCCTCCCACTCCTCCTCCTACCTCAACCTCCTCCTCCTCCTCCTACACACGTCCGTCCCTCCTCCTCCTCCTTTCCTCCTCCTCCTCCTCCTCCTCTCTCCTCCCTCCTCCTCCTCCTCCCTCCTCTTCCTCCTCCCTCCTCCTCCTCCTCCTCCTCCCTCCTTCCCCTCCTCCTACCTCCTCCTCCGCCTCCTGCTCCTCCTCCTACGTCCTCGTCCTCCTCCCAGCCTCCTCCTCCTCCCTCCTCCTCCTCCTCCACCTCCTCCTCCTCATACATCATCATCCTCCCTCATCCTCCTCCTCCTCCTCCTCCTCCTCACGTCCGCCTCCCTCCTCCCCCTGCCCCTCCCCCTACTTCCCTTCCCCCCTCCCACCCTCCACCTCCTTCACATCCTCCTCCTCCTCCTCCGCCACCTCCTCCCTCGCTCCACCTCCTCCTCCTGCTCCTCCTCCCCCTCCCCCCCTCCCACCTCCTCCTCCTCCTCCTCCTCCTCCTCCTCCTCTCCTCCTCCTGCTCCTGCTCCTGCTCCACCTCACTCTCCTCCTCTCTCCTCCTCCTACCTCCTCCTCCTCCCTCCTCCCCTCCTCACCTCCTCCCCCCTCCCTCCTCCCCCTTCCTCCACCCTCCTCCCACTTACCATCCTCCTCCCTCCCTCCTCCCTCCTCCCTCCCCCCGTCCTCCCCTCCCTCCTCCCCTCCTCCTCCACCTCCTCCTCCTCCTCCTCCTCCTAGGTTGGTTCCCTAGCGAGGGCCCGCGCAGCCGTCTTGCCCTTGGGCGGCCGCGGCCCCGCGACAATGGGAGCCACCAGCGCCGAGAGCGCGAAGTGACCTGGAGACGTGGAGAGCATCATTCGGGGCGACCTGGATGGCGTGGACCGAATGCGCCCAGCAGGAGTCCGCAGACGTCTAGTGCTCCACGTGCGCGGGCAAGCCGCCCTGGATCTCGGACTGGTCGAGCTGGGCTTCGGCACATCCTGGCCAGCCTCGCCATTTGACCACGGATTCGTCGAAGGGTGGCTGCAGGAACCCGCGTGCTCAAATGGCGGGCCATACCCAAGGATTCGAGAGGCAAGCTTAAATTGTGCAGCAAGACGTGCACAGAGCCTGAGGGCTGTCCTGTTGGGCGTCTTGGAGGCGATTGGGGAGTGCAGGGGGAAAGTCGACCCTCTGGGGGGACCCGCGTGCGAGAAGTGGGAGGCGAAGATCGAGCCCGACACGACCAGCTGCAGTGCAGAGAGCAGGGCGTGCGAGGGGACGAGGGCGAGGGCAGAGAACGAGGCGCGGGATGCGAGGCAGGACCGCAGCGGGCGCGAGGCACGGACGGCGACGACGGAGCCCGCCGCGAGCCCCTGTGAGAAGCGGGAGGCGAAGACAGAGCCCAGTATTGGGAAGGGGCCCTGGGACACACACACACACACATAAATACACACAAATAAAACTATTCCCCGTATTCTTCCATATGTTTTGGATGTTCGCCTTCCCCCCGCTTCCCATATGTTTCCATATGTTCTGGGGGATCGACGATTCATTGTGTCTGTGTGTTTTTTCCCTCCTGAAATATGACCAGCTACAGCGAAGCGATCAGGGCGTGCGAGAAGGGAACGGCGAAGTTGAAGCCCGACGAGCCCAGCTACAGCTCTGTGAACAGTGAGCGCGGCAATTCGGAAGCCAAGCTGGAGTCCGACATGATCCGCTACAACACTGCGATCAGGGCAACAGTGGCGGAAGCAAAGTTGGAGCCCAATAGCACCAGCGTTTTCCCCTCGTCACCTCTCGTCGCCACGGCTGGATCAGTGAAAACAGCATGTGGCTCGGTTGCGGAGGCGAAGTTGGAGCCAAACGTGATCAGCTACAGCGCAGCGAGCGAGAGAGGAGCATGGGAGGCAAAGATAGAGCCCAACGTGACCAGCTACAGCGAAGCGATTAAGGCGTGTGAGGAGGGAACGGGGAAGTTGGATCCCGACATACCCAGCCCTAGCCCTGTGAACGGTGAGCGCGAGAAGTCAGAGGCGAAGATGGAGCCCGACACGATCCGCTACAACGCCGCGATCAGGGCAACAGTGGCGGAGGCAAAGCTGGAGCCCAATATCACTAACGTTTCACCCTCGACTCCCCTCGTCGCCACGGCTGGATCCGAGAAAACGGAGTGCGAGAAGCGGGAGGCGAAGTTGGAGCCAGACATCGTCAGCTCCAGCGCGGGGACCAGCGCGTGCGAGAAGGTGAAGGCGAAGCTGGAGCCCGACACCCCGACTCACAGCTCTGAGAACAGCGAGTGCGCAAAGACGGAAGCAAAGGTGGAGCCCGACGCGATCTGCTACAGCGCCGCAGCCAGGGCGTGCGAGAAGGAGAAGACGAAGCTCGAGACGGAAGAGCCAAGCGGCACAAGCATGGCGATGTGGCGGGCGCGAGCCGAGATCTCCCGCAAGTGGCCGGGCCCGAACAGGTGGCAGGAGGATGAGGCGAAGCCGAAGCCCGACGTCGTCAGCTACAACGAGGAAATCCTCGAGGGGGTCCTCGAGGAGGCCAGACGCACGACGAGAAGTGCGAGAAGTGGGAGGCGAAGACTGCGCCCGGCATCATCGGCTACAGAGCTGGGAGCAGGGCGTGCGAGAAAGGCGCGGGCGAGCGCCGAGGCGAGCGCCTGAGCGCGGACGCCCCATACCCTGGACGGGAGCCCCTTGAGAATGGGGGCATGCCTGTGGGAGGGGCAAGCGCCTCGGGAGTAGACAGGCATCGCGGTTGGGGAGGAACCTCTGGAACTCCTCCTCCTCCTCCTCCTCCTCCTCCTCATCTTCCTTCTCCTCCCTCCGCCCCCTCCTCCTCCCCCTCCTCCTCCCTCCCTCCTCATCCTCCTCCTCCCTCCTCCACCTCCTCTTCCTCCTCATCCTACTCCTCCTTCTCCTCCCCCTCCCCCTCCCCCTCCCCCACCCACCTCCTCCTCTCCTCCTCCTCTCCTTCCTCCTCCGCCTCCTCCTACCATCCTCCCTCCTCATCCACCTCCTCCTCCCTCCTCATCCCTCAACGTCCTCCTTCTCTTTCCTACCCTTCCTCCTTCCTCCTCACTCCTTTCCTCCTCCTCCTCCTCCTCCTTCCTCATCCTCATCCTCCTTCGCCCTCCCCATCCTCCTCATCCGCCTCCGCCTCCTCCTCCTCCTCCTCCTCCTCCTCCTCCTTCCCACCTCGCTCCTCCTCATACCGTACCCACCTCCTCCCTCCTCCTCCTCCTCCTCCCTCCTCCTCCTCCTCCTCCTCCCTCCTCCTCCCAGCTCCCCCTCCTCCTCCTCCTCCTCCTCCTCCTCCTCCCTCCCACTCCTCCTCCCCTCCTCCTCCCCCTCCTCCTCCTCCTCCTCCGCCCCCTTCCCATCCCCCTTCATCTCCTCTTCCTCTCCTCCTCCATGAGCCCCTCCTCCTCCTCCTCTTCCTCCTCCTCCGCCTCATCATTCCCCCTCCTCGTCATCCTCCTTCTCCTCCTCCTCCTCCTCCGCCTCCTCCTCCTCCTCCGCCTCATCGCCATCTCCATCTCGATCTCCATCT